AACACCTCTAAGATAATCGAGTCCACTAACCCAGCACTGCCAAGTCCACCACMAAACCAAGTCCCTRAATGCCACATCTTGGTCACACACTGAGCCCTCATGGTGACATTCTCTGGAGTTGGTTAAAGCTCAACTTGGCAGCAGGGCAGGTGCCTCCTTGCCAAGGGCAGGGAGARCCTGGACAGCCTCTCTGAGCCTTGACAGCTGTCCCTAGCCCAGAGGCAGGGACTCACTTGCATCATTAAGGCAGAAAAAACAYGATGATAAACTTCTACAGTTTAAACACACAGCTACAAAGACAAATAAGTATTTTAATCAGGAAGATAAATGGGCTCTTTTAAGAGATTAAGTGGTGCACCTACAAAACATAGCTATTTCTCAGTAATAGGGACATCCCCTAATGAAGTGGACTGTGGTGTAAAGCAAGCAATTTAGGTCTGTATGCTTATTTATCTGATGCAACTGCATTAGCTAAATGTCAGTGTTTTTGCCAGGAGCCTATGCTGCAGCCATCGGAACAGTGACAAATCCTGCTTCCCCAGCTACAAACAAGGCACAGACTGGGGCAGTGGGGAGGAGACTGCTGAAGGGACAGAAAATGCTGTATTTAAACAGTTGTATTTGCTTTTCTGTAAAAAAAAAAATCATCTTGAAGATCTCCTTTCTGCCAGAACACTGGCACTTTGCAAATGCTGCCAACACAAACCCTGCGAGCAAGCCAGCTGACATCAGCTGACCAAGGACATGGGGGGACTTTGGACATTTTATCCATTCCTTCTCAGACAGACAGCCTTTTGTCCTGACCATCTGAGCAAAACAAGCCCATGAGTRAAAGCAGAAGCTGTCTATGGAAGATGTGCTTATGTCAGTGCAATCTGAGATACACAGCGCCAGAAGTGACATGAACTCAGCTCAAGATCAAACCAGGTTTGCAATAACTCTTTCCAAAAAAATGGGGGTTTCAATATGCAGGATAAATTGTGGGATAAATTCAAAAGGGAAGTTTATCCCAGCTGCTGTCTGGGGCTTCACCAGCAGCATTTTTGAGAAGAGCCCAATAGGATGTGATCTTTCAGATAGTTCCAGTGGAGATGGCCAGTTCAGTCTGGCCTGTAGTGGTGAGGAGGAAAAACAGTCTCATATCCTTGCCTGGATAAAATAAACTGGACAATTTTTGTACAACTCAAGCAGGTGATTGTTTGGACCACAAAACTTGCTATTGAAACTAGCTCCTGAGCTGGGGAGTAAACACGAAGGACTGAGGTTGTAGTTGCAGTGTGTTTGGTATGTGCACTCAGGTCAGAGCAACCATGATTCATCTCAGACATGGGACATGAAGTTCTGTTTCCCAGAGTTGTATCAGCCAGAGCTCACAGCACAGGTCTGAAATCCCTTTTAGGACTATATGCCCACTGGAAGYGGGGAGGGAGTGCATGGGAGGCAGGTAAATCAGGTGGTACCTGAAGGAGAACAAAGCCTTTTGGTACAAAAATTAACAAACAAAATTTTTGCAACAAATCACAACCAGCAGAAAGATCAACACGCTGCATTGAGTGGTTTTGCTGTTTTCAGTCTAAGCCTGGGAGACACCCACATGTTTTGTGTTATCAGGCCTTATTTTCTGGAAACTTTTCCATGCCAGATACTTCCAGAGCAAGCTGAGGAGCATACTCCAGTGAGCTGTACTGACCTCACAGAAGTCTTGGGTTCTTCTATTCTGTCTTTGTACACTGAGCAAGCTATTCATGCTCTCCTATGAAGGTTGAGAGTGCATGGGTAGGCAGTGTGAGAGGGGCGTGTCTTCATGCATAGCCTGCAGTTTACTTCCAACTTTGAAGCCTCTAACCCAACTCTTCACATGACCAGCCTCTTCTGCAGTGTTTTGTTAGCTGAGTAAAACTCGGTGGCTTGAGGCTGAAAATGAATATAAAAGAGAACRTGTACTTGAATTCTTTTTTAACTTGGCACGTTTATACCTGCATCTTAACTGCTCCTATTTTTACTTCTACACTCCTAGGTTCAGAAGGCCCTGACTCTGGAGAAAAACAGATTAAAATCCACACAGARTTGTGCTCCTACCTCCATATGACAAAAGTGTTGCACAAATGTTCTTGAAGCACACAGAAATTGTTGTCTTCCACATCAGTCAAGAAAGGGCTGTTTTAATATGGGCCCAGCAGTAATACAAGTTATGGCAATTCAAATCTTGAAAAGCTATATATTCAGACCCTCAATACTGCAAATACATTTCACAAGTTCTTGCTTCCCAGGATAATAGCTACATAATTAGGRTAAGCCTTTCACACTTTCTCTTTGATCCCAATGGATTTATTTACAAAAAATCACTGCATGAATGTGCCCATCAAATGTCTTACAGAACTGCTTGTAAAAAAATTAAAATCTTAAATATAGAGATTCTCTCTCTACTAAGCACTGGCTTTAATTAAGACTGGGAGTTGTTCATACTTTGAATCCTCTGTTTGACATTTCAAATGTGCCATGCAGGTTCTAATACACATTACACAAAAAGAGCTATTATAAAATTCCTGACCTTTTCTTGTTTGTATGACAAAGGGGGAATGGCAAATCCTCCAATTGGACCAGATAATCACTCTCCTGTGAAAAGCCTGCAATACACATCCTCTATTTTCAAATAGCTGAGCTTCAACTGTGTTTGGTCAATAATTTTATTTTAGGGGTGAAGCCTATAAATCACCTTCCAATACACACTAGAGAGGCCTGGTGGATTTGYCATCAGCCACAGGAGAAATCACATCCAGATACAGGAAAGCTGGGTGCTGCTGGAGTAATCAGACATTTTCATTTCACGTTGTCATGGTTTTTTGAAGAACACTCATTGCAGAATAGGACCACTCTCTGGACCAAAGACTAATTAGATGGATAAATAATTATGGGATCATATCTTCTGATCTAAGAGACAGCATTACAAATCCAGGGACTGCAGTTTTATCCAGGTGGCCATATAAACATAACAAATTCCCTGCTGGAACTGAGCTGGCCAACACTAGAGAGCCCATCTGCAGAAAATTTTATCAGTCACCTGGACATTGCTCAAGTGCAGTTTCCAAGCCTGTGACACAGCTCATCATATGACCAGCTCATCTGCCCCAGCCCCTGGGAATCAGTAATGTGCATTTTGGCTGGGGAGACAGTCCTGAGGGAATAGCCAGGTGTRTGGAACCTTCCCAAAGATCTGAGGGGTCACAAAGGCTTTCAGGGACAAACMTTCCTTCCTCTTATTCACAAGAGCAGGAGTATTTGACATGACCTGAGGTCGAGGCAGTCAAATGAAGTGGATATTTTTCACTGCACTTTGTGTCTTGGGAATGGATTTTGAATGAATGTACAAATACATGTCTTAAATTCATCTTCAGAGAAAGATGCTACACAAAGTGCAGGATTAAAGAATGTACTGCCTTGGGCCATGCACAAGCTGTTACTTTGTAGTCTGTTCCATTTTTGTCTTAAAACCCAATTTAGCTAAATAAGGTACCCTTTTAACATCTAACAGCAGCTTTATCATGTTTAAGAAGACAAGTTTCTTAAAAGGTTGTAAAGACAAAGTAAGCAGTAAAGGGAAGTGTTGAGTAGGGCTCTTTCAGAYGGCTTTATTGCCTTCCCCGGAGTACAAAACAGGCTGCCTCGGCTGACACTTGTTTTAATGAGGGATGAGCCACAACGGGGTGATTTTGTACAAGTTCATTACATCGCATCCTCCAGCCAGACTGTCCTCAGGGCACTCCATTCAGCCTGGACATTGGATGAAACTGGACCAATTTTAAATCATTTACAGAGACATAAAATCCAAAGGGCCTTTGATGCTGAAGGCATTTGTGTGTAGGCTCAGGGATGTGGCTGCTGAAGAGGATGAGAATTTGCCCCAAGTGGTGTGCTCCTTTCTTTATGCTTTTATCAATCACATTTTATTTCTTCAATTCAATTCTCCTGGGATTGGTGGCAAAAATAGATTTCCACATCTTATGTTAGCAAAGGCCAGGGAAGAAAAGGGTGTAAATTTCAAGTTTAAATGTTGATTACAAGGTCATCATCATCCAGTCTCTGCACCCCAGCCTTAGAGTCAGCTTCGCTCTCCAGAGTCAGTGCTCAACTGTGGCTGTTAAAAGCATTCAAAATATTGATACTCTTCATCCATGTTGTGGAATAATGCAGTGGTTTCTCATGTTCTGAAAAGCCTTCTTCTTTTAAGCATGAGTGTTAYGAAACCCACAGGAATCCATAAAGAGTGATGGGGCATTTTTCTAAAATGTCACCCCCGTACATCTTCCACCTTCTGTGATTCAGAAGCAGCATAAAAGGCCATAAATCGTTCAACTGCTGTGATTCACTGCCCTGATTCATACACTTGATACAAATATTCAGAGATCAAAGTGGAACTTCACTCCCCCCCCACCCCAAAGATTTAAATGATTTTTCAATGCTTGCCATAAAAACGGACTTCCAGCTAAAGCTAAAGCTTGTCCTGATTGATATTGGCTGTTTTAGGTAGCAAGTCCCCTGCAATAAAGATTGATGCTACCTTTAAGAATCATATGGTGTAGTACATAAAGCAATGTATTCTGCAGATGTATTTCCTCCCTGGCAGGGGCTGAACAGGGGACGCTGATTGCTCAGAGGGCTTCTGGCAAATATTTACAGGGAATTAAAAAATAATGGAAACTTCTTCCCCGTGAGGGAATCTGGTAGCCCCCCTAAACCTTCTTGTATTAACTTTGCAGTGGATGAAGGTGTTAAACTGGCATGTGTCTACCAACAGGGGAGTGAGCCTTTTAAGTCCTTTGCTTCGTCCCCACTTGTGAAATTTGTTGTGCCAGTGGGACGAGGCTGGCTATAAAACCCCGGCACTGGGGACCTCTATCCAGCTCGGGCAGCCTGCCAGCACATTTCTGCCTAGAGCAGCCCTGGGGAGAACGCCCCCTTCATCTCTGCTGGGCAGGGAATTGCTTTGCTGACAGAGGAGGATGGACCTGAGGTGTGCCTGGATGCTCTGCATGCTCTGCCTCACCCTTACRGTCCGAGCTTTTACCCAGGAAGGGTTCAAGGAGGTGGTGCTGAAGCAGCTGGGCCTGTCTGAGGTCCCTAAACTTCACAAGGGAGACTTGGTGAATCTGGTTATCCCAGACCACGTCATGAACAAGTACATGTCCATGCTGAAGCGCCAGAGGGTGAAGCGCCGCGCTYTGCCGAGCCTGACTGGCATCCTCAGGGGGATCCCTGGACACACAGGTAACGTTTCTGCTGCTGGGAGCATCCCAAGCACCCTGCTGCTGCCAGGGGAATCTGCCAGGGCTGTCCCAGCGGCCGCAGGAGGGGCAGAGGAAAAACCCCCGGGGGGAATGAGGATTGCATTTGGCTCCAAAGCTCAGCTGGGCAGAAGAGGTGCATGCAAGAGCATCCTAAAGATTAACAAGCACTCTTGGCACCTTGAGAGGGGATGCTGCAGTCCTTCCAAAGGGCAGGATGCTGCTGGAGACTGATAGAATCCTTGGTACCCTGGGAACAGTCTGGGCACGGGGGAAAAGGTACAAGTCAATAGAAAGTTCAGACCATGCAGGTTTTCAGACAAATCTGCCGCAAGTCCTCTAATAGGAATCACACTGCTTGGAGGATGTTTCACTCTCATCTCTTTTTTGTTTGGTTGGTTTTGGTTTGGTTTTTTTTTTTTTTTTTTTACTGGAAAAATTATCAAGGAGGAAAATAGCCATACAGATACAACAGTGGCTGTACAAGGGCACTTAGAGATTATTTTGCTCTCAAAGGCATACACAGCACTCTGGGCAGCAAATGAAAATAATTTTTCATTCCAAATGGTGAAGTTTCCTGCTTTCATTCCCAGCACTGGCACAGAGATGCCCACCTTTTTAGGTCTGCTCAGTTTGGGGTCATTTAATGTCAGAGATTTCAYTCCTTCAGGTCGCAGAGGCTCAGACATAAGAGAATAATTAGAGCATTTGCAAKACATTGATTCAAGTATGCATTAGAAAAGGTGTGTTTAGTGGCTGTCTCTGCCACAAGAGCTCAACTGGGAGCATGGAAAAAGTGTGTTGTGATGATAAAAGTGTGTGATAAATGAAATGTGGGGGGTTTGCTCACCAGCATGACAATGACAGGCAACAACAATCATTTTTGTTGCCAACTGCACAGGTATGACAGGAGAAGTCCTCTACTCCCATATCACACGCCAGAAGCTGATGTTTGACATGGAGGGCAGAATACCTAAAAACAGTGAAGTCACAATGGCAGAACTGAAACTCTTCAAAAAGCCTCTGGACAGAGCCAACCTGCCTGCCAGGCAGTCTCACAGACCCGTCTCCAACGCCAGAGTCAGCGTGTACTGGGTGCACCGGCAGCACGACGGCACCAACAGGACCTCCCTGATAGATTCCAGGTAAGAAAGGGGCCTCTGCTGAGGGCAGGACTCTAGTTACAGAGTTTGGGTCCTCTRGAGGGCATCTGGGTATCATGTGGTTGTGTCTCAGGTCAGTCWGATGGGGTTGCACCTGTACAAACAGGTTACATGGCCTCTAAACCCAGAATGAGCTTGTAAGAGCAGATACTATGCTATGATGGCAATATATGATGATTCTTCAAAATAATGTAGGAAATGATGCCATGTAGTGCTGCATCTTCCCCTCTAAAATCCCTCATCTGGTTCGATTCTCTGTCACAAACTCATGTGGGTCACTGGCTGCTGGTATTCTKTCCACTGGCCATTTCATTAGCTGGTTTAAACAGATAAGTTTTGCAAACAGCATCAAATTCTGTAATGGGGAGCTCTGTGGAAGTTTTGCAACCCCTGAAGGCAGAATGAGACCTGAAACCAATTTCCTGGGTGGGGAGAAATTTATGGCTCTAATGCAGCTCAGACAGGAGCAGGTGGGAGCCTGCTGTTTATCAGACTGTTTTCACAAATACTGAGGCTGCACATGATCCTGCACCACCTAATTTTTGATATGAGCATGTAGAGAGGGTTTTTTTTCTGGCCCTTCAGTGTCTGTTAGGTCTGCATGCTTCTTTTTGAGGTGGCAACTAACTGCTGTGGGTGCTTGCCCAGAGCAAAAATTGTCACACAATCAAAGCATGTGACAACCGACAGGAAGCAAATTATTCTGCTGCAGTAACAGCACTGTGAGCCCAGGATTTCTCTGATGGAYTTTTCTTATGTCCCTTGTCCCACAGGCTGGTTCCTATACGTGAGTCGGGCTGGAAGAGCTTTGATGTGACCCAGGCTGTGCATTACTGGCTGCGAAACAAGAGGCAGGAGCCGATGTTCCTGGAGGTGTGGATCGAAGGGGAAAGGATGGGCAGCTATGCCTCGGAAATGGCCAAAGCCGTGCGCTTCACCTCGCAGGACCCCAAGGATAAAGCCCTAGGCAAGCCTGAGCTGGTGCTTTACACCCTCAACTTGGACGACTATGGGTATGTATGAAACCTTAATCTGTACTGTCTCTGGTGTGATTATTGTTAGGGTTATCTCCCTGAATTATTGTAGGGGGAGGCAAACCCACGGTGGGCAGCTCTTACCCTCACAACTGTTTACCTGCTGTGAGTGGAGGAGTTAGAAAGTTGCTGCAGAATCACACCTCTCCCCCTGAATACTCAAACGAACCCTGAGCACGGCCCAGATTTCATGTCTCAGAGCCCACCTGTGCTATTAGCAGCGGGAATGATTTCTCCCTCTTCCCAGTTTCCAGTTACAGCACGCATTCCTGTTTCTCCCTTGTTATCCAGGAGCCTCGGGGACTGCAGGGAGGAGGCGGTGATGGGGAAATCCACCTGCTGCCGGCAGAAACACTACGTCAACTTCCGCGAGCTGTCCTGGGCGCAGCACTGGATCCTGGAGCCGGCGGGGTACCAGGCGTTCCGCTGCTCCGGGAGCTGCCTGCAGCCCCCCCGCACCCTGCGCTACCCGGGCTCCGGGCAGCGCTCCTGCGCCGTGGCCGCCAGCTCCGCGCTGCCCATCATCTACCTGGTCAAGAGGGGCAACCGCACCGAGATCGAGGTGGCCGAGTTCCCCAACATGATCGTGGATAGGTGCAGCTGCGTCACGGATGGCATGGCGCTGGTGTGACCGGTRCCCGGCCTGGTGTGTCACCCATTCCCCGCAGCCCTGCCCTGACAAGAGCCACCCTGGCCAACAGCCCCGGGGCCAGTGATGAAGGGCTGGGGAGGGTTCCTGCCTGCAAGGGTCAGCAGCAGCCGCGGCTGCAACTCCCCTGCCCCGGCAGAAAGGGTGCACTTAGAGGCACTGTCCGTGCAGATGGGCTCARAGGAGTGTGCATTTCACATATGTGAGGGTACCTAAGGAGCTTAGTGCTTCTCTGGGCCTCCTCGATGCCTGCTAAATTTCCCTGAATTTATTCAGTCCCCACCCTGGAATGCTGCAAACAACTCCAGGCAAAAGAACAGTGACTGTCACCAGGTGAAGAACTGATGAAGGGGCTCAGCTTTTCATTCGTAGGCTGCTGGGTTTGGTCCTTGTCTACCCAAGTCGTGTTTATGGTGAACTGGAGAGAAGAAGCACTTACATGTATGTAATCTATACACACACACACATGCACACATGTACAGAGCATATGAATATATGTGTGTATTGTCTACATATATACACATTTATTACATATATATATGTACATAAAATATTGCCTTGAGCTCAAAGGAATTTACATATGTGCATATGTATTTACTGTACATATATATATCTACAGCTACATAAAATATTACCTGAAACTCAAAGAATTATATTTTTAGCCTCCGTACCATGGGCTTAACACTATTTTAGGCAGAATTTAGAGTCCTGGAATCAACAGGAATATTAGGACTTAGGCACGAGTAACAGTTTGTTTTTCTGATTCTGTATTACACTTATTTCAATTTATGGATTTTTCCCAAATTTTGTATGCTTTCAAACTCAAGAAAACAATAAAATACGAGTATTAARGTAGCCAAGGGTTTGCTCATATTTACTCTTAGATCTAAAAGTGGTGGGGAAAAGATCTGTCATTTCTGAGAGTATCCAGAGCCCAGTTCCTATAAACATACACACAGCAAAAGTTTTCTCTGTGTGATCCCTACCTGTGTGATCCCACTGCTCCTGGTGAAACTTCTCTGCTCCCTCAGGGACTGGSACTGGGCTGAATCAGCAGGCAGAGCAGAGGCTACACTGCCAGTGCTTCAATCTGAGCTGCTGTGGAGTTTAAGTCAACATTTCTTAAAGAGAAAACCTAGAATCTTTCCTGCCAGCAGGAGGTGATGCTCTCCTGCTGAGCTGCAGCGGTGACAGTACCTGCAGGGGTCAACTGGAGTTGAAGTATAGAAAGGGATGAGCTGCCTTTTGCCCCCTTCTTCCCCAGATGAAGCATTTTAACCCTGACCCTTCCTGCTGGACACCTGACCAACACATCCCCTGCAGAAATGCTATAATAATGTGGTTTACTCCCTTTTTGAACTGTTCTGAAATGGCTGGCCAGGATGTCACCCATGTTAATGATTTCCACCTTCACATCAGACTCCTCTCCTCCATTCACAACCCACTGAGACAGCAGCAGCTCTGGGGATGAAGTATTTGCTGCTGTCCATCTCTGCTGGACAGTGGGATGTGGTCCCTGAGTCTCTGGTTGAACCCACAACTCATGCAAGGACTCTGAAATGTCTGGCTAGACAGGGTGACCATGGAGCAGGGGAAAAGAGGGACCTGTTGGACTCTGCAGTGGCCATGTGTTGTCTGTCAGGAAATTGGGACTTTCCTGCTGCCCTGCAACAGGAGGAGCTCAGCTCTGAGATCCAGAGGCATCAATACCATCAGCGGTGAAAACGCCTGTGGCAAAAGAGCTTTAAGGGGAGAAAAAAAGGCAAAAGCACAGACTCACCATTCACCAGGGCTGGGCTACAGCACTGCGGATCACAGGAAGCAGAATTGGATGAACAGGAATGACCTCTGACCTTTCCCTTCTCATGACTATGCAGCATCTCTCCTAATGGCATTGGCATCCAGCCTCAAGCCCTCTCCATCCAGCTGGGGCAAGGCATAGCCTGAAGGCCGGGAGCTCAGTTATCACCAGGAAGAACAAAGCCGATGATTTAAGCCACACGCTGCAGCCTGGGCAAGAAAGTGTCAGAGCTGGTTGCTGCCTGAGAAAGAAGAGTGTTAACCTTGGCTTGCTTCCCCTCAGCCTCCAGCACTTGAACTTCAAGGCATCATTCATCCTCCATGCCAGGAGAAATCCATGCAGTGCAATTTGGGCCAGGCAGCTGTGGGAAATGGGGAGCAGAGCATCACAGGAGCAGCRGGATGGATGGACAAGGCTCCTTCTCTCCACCAGGATCCTGTGYCCGGCACGTCTTGCTTTGTGTCTGACTGCCCTCACTCTGGTGTCCTGTGGGTACGAGGTACACAGCAGCAAGGGGTGGGTCTGGGTGTGACATCTGGAGGGTGGGGACGGGAGGTGGTGGCCAAGGGGACCTGGTGTTGCTGTGGGGAGAGCTGTGGGTATTGCAGGGCAGGGACAGGGTGCAAATCTGTGAGACACAAAGMCCTGCCTGTCCTGCTGCCGGCATGGCTACTTGGATTTATTGCTAGGTGAGCTGCACAGATGTCACAGCATCTCTGCTGGGGTAGTCTTAGCTCACATTTGGTTTGAAGGTCCCCACTTTTGGGGAGACAGGACACTATCTTCTAAACTCCAGCTGGCTTTGCAATGAAAATGTTGCAGACTTGGAGGCTGGGCTGATGTGGGGAAGGCTCCAGAGATTTCTACATCACAAACTCCTGGGCAGAAGGCTGTGGATGAAATACTGCCACACCTGGGGCTTTTTCAGACACCAGCCCATGCTATAGGAAATTATCTCCCAGCTGCTGTCTTTAATCCAGGCTGCATTTGCTGTGACACCTTCTGTGTGCTTCTTGTATGGGTACAACTTGTARTGCACACAAAAGCTGCCAAGCTGTCATGTTCTCCTTTCCATCTGAGCAGCACCATGGTCTCTGAGGGAAAGCAGAACATCTCACACACCTCCAGCAGTGTGGCTCAGCGTTGTCATCGATGCTGTGCTGTAAAAATAAAAAGRAAGAGCAGTGTGAGGGTGTAATCAACCACATATAGACAGAAACGATATTTTAAAATGGAAAGGTGTTTAAGGCAAAACCAGCATTAAACCTTYGGGCATCCTCCTGCACTGCTGAAAGCACAGAGCACCCAGCAGCTGCTCAAGGAGAGGGAGGTGTGTGYTCTTCACCTGGAGGACTTCAACAGCACTGTTAGTCCCACACTTCAGCTTGGGCTCTTGTGTGAGKGTTCGCGTGGCAGTGCCTGAGCTAAATCTTATCACAAGCTTGAGCTTATCAGAAGCGTCAGCTTATCACGAGCATGAGCTCTGGCTGGGCCTCATGGCACTGCTCACAGGGTGACCTTTAAGGGCCTGAAGTACTTAATGGAGCTGGACATGAGGTCTGGAGCTGGTCCTGCCTGTCTCAGGAAAGCTTCCCTTAAGAGAGAGGCTTGGCCATTCCAGCAGCACTTTCTCTCTCTGTTATCTCCATCCATTATCTCCATTCCTGGAGAGAGAACAAAAGTTTCAAGGGACATTAAATGCCACTTCTAGTTGGGCTCCATTGCCCTGTCTGATCTTTCCACAGTTTCATTTAAACCAAGGCTGCTTTCCYATTTTCTTTCAAAATCTGTGAGATGTTACAGCTTTTCTGGGCTGGTGAGACCTTATTTCCTCTCTCTCTCTTGTTTTTTTCTCTTTTGCATTTCAGAGACTCCTGCCAAGGGTGTCTGACACTTTGCCTTTCAGGGCAGCCTCCTAATTGCCTGTGTAAGTGGAAAGTCAGATGCCCAATCCACATCCCAGCAAAGGTGATTATCAGGGAGCTCCTGTGGCTCTGGCTGCCAACAGCTGGAGTCTGGGAAAGGGGAACTCAGGGCAAACAGAGGGTGAGGACGGAAGCTGCAGGGAATATGGCAGAGATCCTGCAGGACTTGGATATTTTTAGAGGACTTGAGCTCCTCTGTCCACTCCTGGAGCAGGTGAAGGAGAGCAGCGTGAACAACATCAGCACATTTCAGGACAAAACTGAATAAAAAGCTCATCATGACTGCTGCCTCTGTCCTGACTTCTGGAGGTGCTCAGGCAATCCAGAGCTGCTGAGGTACCTGGGTTTGGGGTGCAGAATGKCCAAGAAACAGTTTTTAACCATGGCAGGAGATAATAAATTACCTGGAAATACTGGGCACTGGTAAGTCATGTCAAAAATCCACAGCCCTCAGCACCTTTTATAATTGTTAAATCAGAGTAGGGGGCATGTGTTTGTTTCTTTGGTTTCTCAAAATTAAACTTAATTTTGATTTAAAGATCCTCCTAACCTTGGTGGAGGGGGGCAGGGGGGTGGTTACAGCACCACACTGGCCATAAGGAACCATCTATAACCACTGGATACTGTACTATTGTTTAGGTTGGAAAAAATCTCCAGGATCATCAAATGTTAACGCAGCACTGCCAAGCCCACCACTAAACCACGGCCCACATCAACCCAGCTTTTAATTCAATTTTAATTCAATCACTTCCCTAGGCAGCCTGTTCACGTTTTCACTGAGGTATGTAATAGTCCCAGCAGATGTTTCACAAGTTGTCTGGCTCCTTATAAACAATGCTCCTTTCCTTTTTCCATACAGCCCGGGCAGGTCTTTGAAGAGCTCCTTGCTCCTTTTTGCCCCACAAGTTTTGTGCAAATTCCTGATTCCTTGTGCCTGGTTAGAGGCACCCAGTGAAGGCAGCAGGGAGAAGCAGGACAGGCAGCTCGTGCATTCAGGTCACCGGGACACTTTCCAAGCTGCTGGCTCTAAAGCCAAACCAACTATCCTGGATTAGCCCAGACTCTAGCAGTGCTGGAAAGCAGAGGTGCCTGCCCAGCCCCTCCTCTCCAGCTGGGGAAGTCAGAGTTGTCACCTCCCTCCCTTCAAGTGACATTAGGCACGTTAATCTGCAAAGCCACTCTAATTGCTCAGCTGTAACCAAAGCCAAGCCAGCAGAGGCAGCAGTACTAACAAATAGAGGTGCAGGCATTACCATTTCCAGTTAAATGTCTTGGAGGAAGATTTAGGATTTTAAAATAGCACCTTTCTGAGAAGAGGCGTTGCTACAAACAAACCTTTCAAATGCCAACCTTCTCCAGAAAGCAAACTTTGGATGAGTTGTGGGGGGATCAGAAGAATTGATTGTGACKGTTTCAGGAGCAGACACGATGTAARGGTGTCCCTGCTCTGCAGCAGCACCATGTACCTGCAGCCCATGGGGTTCGGGTCAGGTGCCCTATGCTGAGGGGCGAGGGTTTGTCAGCGCCGCTGGAACCAGACACATCATCCGTRTCAGTCCAGTGCCACCTACAGCAGCCAGAGCAGAAACTGCAGCACTCAGCAAACCAATGGAAGCAATTCCTGCGCACTCCAGCAAAAGTGGTGTTTACAGGAGTGGCTTTTGAGTAACTTGTTTATTAGAACCATGTAGGTGAGGACAGTGGAAAGRAGCCTTTTGGCTGAAGGCTGGCAGCTATTGTGTCTGCTGATGGTGATATTTCTAAACCTCCACCAGCTCTTTCCCTCTGTGACCTGCCCTGTTCCCTGCTCTTTGGTGTATCAGATGTACTTCTCTTTCTTTCCAGGCAAGAGATGGATCAGTATTAAGTGAAGAAAAGCCCTCCCTCGAGATTGTTTACACTAATTACTTTTTCAGTCAGTAACTCTGAAATGCCAGTGAAACATCAGGCAGTGCTTAGGTGTTTGAAATAAACACATTTAAAATGACACTTTAGAAGTGTGACTTCTCTAAGTCTCACCACTTGCTTTTTGGGGAAGTGATTCCATGGGAGAATGAACCTTTTCTCTGGGAAGATATTCAGTTTTGGTGCATTTACAACCAGAATCATCTTT